TGACTGCAAGGGAAAGGAGAGAGAGGCCATTGCCATCAGAATACTAATGTGAAGTCAGCCCCCACTGCTGGGTGGCACCAACTTTCTGATGGAGCAGTGAAGCTGTCAGCAAAATCCACTCCTGACCCTTGGACTTTTCATCAAAGCATCGAGTAAGAAAACTCAATGAGATGCGACTGAGGATCTATTCAGTGCAGTATTACTGCCAGACCCTCAGCATCTGTTGCCTGAGGCAGCCACTTCACTCTGTCTAATGATTGGGTCGGCCATGAAACTGCCTTAACAGGGAGGTTCTTTTCACCTACTTTTGTCTAATAGATGAAGATAGATCAATTGCCATAATTTTGTCCATCCCTTTTTAAAGAAGCAAACTCAAATGCCCCTTGCTAAGTCTTGTAGCATTAAGTCCCATAACTCAATTATGCCTCCCTTCAAATATTGAAGCTATTCATCCTGAATCTTAAAACTCTCCCTCCTCTCTTTGTATCTCCCCTCCTCTTTCCTCTACTTGTTGCTGCTGTATTTTACAAGAACAGGAGCCTTCTCAGGGAGTGACTGTGTTGCTCTTAGATTCCAAGCACAGCATTCCTAGAACTCTTAAACATTAAAAATGTAGCGAAGTATAAATATTTGAAATCCCCCGGAGCTGGCATATGTACTGTCTTTAAGAAGGCCCTTTTGATCTGGTATCTGTTTTCCCTGGAACAGCTACATATCTCGTACGAGATTCTTTTTTCATTTTATTTTATTTACTCGTATCTTTTTTCCCCTTACCCCTGTAGCATCAGTTGAAGGCTGTGTAGTGCAGCGGTGAGGCTCAAAGGTGCCTGCCAAGTGCCGCTATTTTTATGCTCTGATGGGAAGTGTTGATAGGAAGGCCCCCACTGCCGCTGCCAGCTCCAAAGATTCTTCTAATTCCCTTCCACTCTTTCCATCCTTCCATTTCCAAGTTCTGATTTTATTTCAGTCAGCCATATGTCTGCTGGGCAATGCGGTTGCTCTTTCTGAAAAGGAAGGCTGGTTGTATATTTCAGGTATCTAGGCTAAAAGGAGAGCAAGTGCCAACAACTTCTGACTTCAATGATTGTGTGTTCACTGGAATACCACATCTTACTACTCAATGGCTGTCTACAAATCCAGAGTGATAATTATTTTTTGGGGGTGGGGGAATTAATATCATTTGGCTACCAATGACTATTAGCCATAATGTTTACGCTCTATTTTGACAGTCAGGTGGGATGCGGGTGGCGCTGTGGGTTAAATCACAGAGCCTAGGACTTGCCGATCAGAAGGTCACGGTTTGAATCTGTGACAGGGTGAGCTCCTGTTGCTCGGTCCCTGCTCCTGTCAACCTAGCAGTTCGAAAGCACATAAAAGTACAAGTAGATAAATAGGTACCACTCCGACAGGAAGGTAAACGGTGTTTCCGTGCGCTGCTCTGGTTCACCAGAAGCGGCTTAGCCATGCTGGCCACATGACCCGGAAGCTGTACGCCGGCTCCCTCAGCCAATAAAGCGAGATGAGCGCCGCAACCCCAGAGTCGGCCACGACTGGACCTAATGGTCAGGGGTCCCTTTACCCTTTACTTTTACCTTGACAGTCAGAGGCAGTAATGCTTCTGAATACAGTCATACCTTGGAAGTCAAACAGAATCCATTCCGGAAGTCTGTTCAACTTCCAAAACATTTGGAAACCAAAGCACGGCTTCCTGAATGCAAAAGCCCCGCCGGACGTTCGTGTTCCGAAGAACGTTTGCAAACCGGAACACTCACTTCCAGGTTTGTGGCATTCAGGAGCCAAAACATCTGAGTACCAAGGCGTTCGGGATCCAAGGTACAAATGTACCAGTTTCTGGAAACAGCAGGAGCAGACAATGCTCTTGGCCTTGGCTCCTGCTTGCAGGTTTCCCATATGCATATGGTTGCCCATGGTGGGAACAGGATTTGGGACTTAATGACTCTTCTTATGTTCATTTTGGTGCCTGCGGCAGAAAATACAACTGGTACTCCATGATTGCAAGATGATAATTTAAATGTTATTAACAACACATTCCCTTACATTTCATTGAATCCCCCCAAATCTGCCTGAATAGTGTGCTGGCCCCGGGGGTAACCCGAGAAACGCAGTCCAGGTCCAGTCCAGAATCCGAAGGAGTCAGTCCGACGGGGCCAAGGCAGGATGCGAGACAGGAACCCAGACAAGGACAGGTACAGGATCTCAGGCAGGATCTGGCATACAGCAATGTTGCTCCTGCAACCTGGGACGGGGCCAACAGCCTTTTATCTTTGTTGTGGTAACAGTCAGTCCTGGTCTCCCGGCGACTCACCTCCCTGTTTCCCCTGAAGGTGAGCACTCCTCCTGTGAGTACTCAGGTCTCTCCTTCTCTCAGACCTTAGTCTCTGCAGCTCGGGAGACGTTGGTGGGTTACTAGACCCAGGGGCCGCCTCAGCCTCCCCTGACCCAACCCGTAGTGGAGCAGCTGTGAGTGATGGCCCAGCTGAAGGCAACAAGGTAATCCTCGCATTTGGAGCCAGGGCAGGCTCAGGCCCCTGACTCAGTCCAGCTGGTGTTTGCTGCAGTGGCACCTGTGCAGACTGGGACTCTTCAGGATTAGGCCCCAGACTTGGTTCAGATGATGCATGAGGCAAAGGATCCAGTGCAGACTGAGACCCCTCTGGTTCCGAATCTGAGCCTGAGTCCCAGGCCATCACAAATAGAATCAAAGAGTTAGTGGAGTTGCTCAAAGTCACAGGAAAGAAAAGTGCTCTTGTGCTTGTGTCCAGCTTGCCTCTTTTCTGCAGGCATCTGGATGCTGGACTAGATGGGCCATTGGGCCTGGTCCAGTAGGACTCTTCTGATGTACCTGTTGGAGGTATTGTGGGCCACCTTGTCAAACACTCTCAATGCAGGAAAACCATATCTAGAACATCCTCAGAACATGACTGCCTTGGCCACTCGGCTTCCCATATCTCGGTTAAATACTTGGTTAAAGACTTCCCATATTTCGGTCAAGTGCTGGAAGAACATTTACAGCAGTGGTGGGGAACCTTTGCCCCTCCAGGTGTTGCTGAATTACTCCTCTCATCATTCCTGATCATTGGCCATCCTTGCTGGGGCAAATGGGAGTTGTCGTACAGTAGTACCTTGTGAGACAAAGGTTCCCTCATCCTCATTTTACAGGAAATAAATAGGGCTGCCATACACCCGGAATTTCCTAGATTCAGCCCTCATAAGCAGTGCCTGGGCAGAAATGATGGGATATCCAGGAAAATCCAGATGTTTAGCAACTCATGTCAGAAGTGTAGATTTTGGCAAATTTCCTTAAAAATAGTTCAAAACTTCATTTCCCCCCCTTTTTAGATTTTGCAAAGAAAGCTCAACAACATTGGCCCCAAAATAACACATACCACTCCCTGTCACCTCACCACAATAAGGTAAGACCAAACCTCTGTACCCACTGAAACACTAAAGAAATTTTCAAATCCCTGGAAAGCGAGGCAGAAAGATGCAAGCAGATTTCAACACAGCACTAATATTTATATCCTGCCTTTCTGCCTTGCTTCCTTGAGTATCTTACAATCACAGTTAAAGACTCTTGCAAGAAATAAAATGGAGCAAAACAAAGACAAATAAAGCAGCAGCAGAATACCGTAGAAAGAGATTGTCATCAGAGTACATCAGAAAGTGTATAAAATCAAGCAAGAAATCACTGAAAAAATTGAAAAAACAGCATTTTTAAGCAGAACCTACAAGCCATCAAGGAAAGACAGGGAGAGGGAAGGTTTCCACAGCTGAGGCCCTATGACCAAGAAGACCCCATCTTATGATTCCACCTACCTCATTTCTGAAAGTGGAACCCTCTATGCAAAGCCTGCAAAGAATATGATAATAGTTGGGCAGGTGTTATGGGAATAGACTATCCCATAGGATTATAGGTGGAGGAAGGCTTGTATTTTTCAATGTTCCATCATTTAAAAAACCTCCATGATCATGTGGAAGGGGGCAGCTCCTTAATCTAGTCCCCCTTTCACCAAAGCAGACCTGCTCATTTCCTATAGACAGTTGACTTTGGCTAGCTAATAGTGCAAAATATCTACCTCACCTGCAATTTAAAAGTGGTACAGTCCACAATTTTGCCACCTCGGTCTACCACCACAATCTCCCATTGAGCTGCCCCCCACCCCAAAAAAGATCCTTTAGAAGGACATTACACCAAGGCATAGCATCTTTTGACATAGGGAATGAAATAGCCTCAGACGTTAGAATGTCACCTCCTTTGTGATGGCAAAAAGTTTGTCTAAAAAATGGGAAAAATAAGTCCCCTACATCTGAAATGAGGAACATTTCACTAGCTTAGCCAGCCTCTCCCAGATGGATAAAGTGCCCCTAATGTTCGCTGCGTGAGAATGGGGCTGTGAAGGTGTGGCCAGGGATTCCATTTGTACATACATTTGTACTTCCATTTGTGAAGACGTAAAACTGAAGTACCTGAGGTTTGGAACATTTGAGCCGTCTTTTGCTGAATCAGACCATTGTAGAAAGAAGATAAAGTCCCTACCAGAGAAGCATGGCAGATCAAGTTGATGGATTATGCCGAAATGGCTAAAATGACCGGAAGAGTCAGAATTCAGGAAGACGAAAATTTTAATAAGGAATGGGGAAAATTTACAACCTATCTTTAAAACCATTGTAAACAGTTAAAATTGTTAGTAGGATTGGAATATCACTTGTAGCTTAATGGTGAATTTTGGATACAATGGAAATGTAAAAGATTTGGATCATCATAAAAGATGCAGGAGGAAATGATTAACAATAGAACCCACAAAGGGGAGGAGGGAAGACCAGGAGGTTCCTTGGAATCTTGTTTGTATGTTTGATATGTGACTGCAAAATTTTAATCTGAACACACACACACACACACACACACACACACCATTGTGTCAATCTAGATTAGTATTGCCTGGCAGTAGCTTCCAGGGTTCCAGGCAGGCATTCTCTCCTGGTCATACCTAGGGGTGCCATAGATTGAATCCAGGGCATTCTGCATGCAAAGCAGACACTCTTCCACTGAGCTATGCCCACCTCTATCCAAAACAGGACTCTGTTGCATTTATTATCCATGATTTTTGGCAACTGAGGCTGATGTTTACAACAATGGGAGAAGTCCACACTCAGTCACTTCTATATTGGGGCTGGTGTTGGAGAAACAGGTTGTTCCACAAGGACCCGGGACCAGGGGAGCAGGGAAAGAGGACTATAGGAAGGAGAACCCAATCAGATCCTTGGTCCATCTAGCCCAGCATTGTCCACACTGAGTGACAGTGGTTCTCGAGGATTTCAGGGTATTCCCAGCCCTAGCTGGAGATGCTGGGGATCGAACCAGGGACCTTTTGCATGAAAGGCGGATGCTTCACCAGTGAGCTATAACCCTTCCTCAGAGACAAGATGAAAGACTTCTTCCGGAGCAAGAAGTGCAGGGAGACATCTGCTTGGTAAAAACCTGTGATCCTCTAATGATTTGAAGTGGGAGGGATGATGGAGAAGGCAATTTTATTTAATATCCCAAATATTTGACATCTCTAGAAACCTCGGGATTTACCTGTCAAAACATGCTAAAAACACTGTCAGCCCCTATCTGCAGTTCTACAAGCAGGAGCTTCCTTTGTGGGCAAAGTTAGGGCCATTTCAAATGAAGATTTTCGCTAATTACTGGATGAAGCTTGAAGCTCACATCCCGGCTGTGAATCAAAACCAGCTCCCCAAACACCTCTGTTGTTCAGCTTGATTTAAGACAAGCCTGCCTGCCTGTAGCCCAAGTGGAAATATGATGAAGTGAAATTTTTGAGCCAACTCACCCCTCCTGATAAAAACCCCCAACAACAATAACCCAGGCTTTCTTTTGGCAGCAGGTGAAGGAAAGCTCCCTTCTAGCATGCATTTACAGCCTTTTCCCCCTATTATTTATTCCCTTTCTCATTTGACATGCAGTAATCAAAGGCATTAAACAGATTAAAAAGTGTGGACGCACAAAAAACGCAATGACTTAATACATTAAAATTGGCCCGGTGATGAAAGTAATGATGTAAGTAGTGATGGAAGTAATAGTGCCACTGTATTCTGCTCTGGTCAGACCTCACCTGGAGTACTGTGTCCAGTTCTGGGCACCACAGTTCAAGAAGGACACTGACAAACTGGAACGTGTCCAGAGGAGGGCAACCAAAATGGCCAAAGGCCTGGAAACGATGCTTTATGAGGAACGGCTAAGGGAGCTGGGCATGTTTAGCCTGGAGAAGAGGAGGTTAAGGGGTGATATGATAGCCATGTTCAAATATATAAAAGGATGTCACATAGAGGAGGGAGAAAGGTTGTTTTCTGCTGCTCCAGAGAAGCGGACACGGAGCAATGGATCCAAACTACAAGAAAGAAGATTCCACCTAAACATTAGGAAGAACTTCCTGACAGTAAGAGCTGTTCAACAGTGGAATTTGCTGCCAAGGAGTGTGGTGGAGTCTCCTTCTTTGGAGGTCTTTAAGCAGAGGCTTGACAACCATATGTCAGGAGTGCTCTGATGGTGTTTCCTGCTTGGCAGGGGGTTGGACTCGATGGCCCTTGTGGTCTCTTCCAACTCTATGATTCTGTGATTCTATGATTCTATGAATGAAACGAGAGCCAGCAGCCATGTTTTCCTTCCAGTTGGGGCTGGCCCTGCTATTGGGCAAAGTGGGGCAGTGGCCTCCAGAGATGTATGGCTGGGAAGGGGACAAGGAGTGGCAGTAATGGGGGGGGGTAGATCCCTGTGTTCCACACAGCCTACTCTATGTGTCATCCTGTTGCCCTCCAGAATAAGAACATGAGAACATAAGAAGAACCTGTTGGATTGGGCCAGTGGCCCATGTAGTCTAGCATCCTGCTCTCAAAGTGGCCACCTAGATGCCTGTGAGGAATCCACAAGCAAGACAAGAGCTCTCCCCCATCTTGTAGACAGCAACAACTGGTATCCAGAAACATTACTGCTTGTGACTATAGAGGCAGAACATAGCCATTATGTCTATTAACCACTGAGGCCATATCCTCCATGAATCTGTCTAAACCTCTTTTACAGCCATCCAAGCTGGTGGCCAAATCTCATAGTTTAATTAAGGTGCTAAATTAAGTAGAGTGACGCGGGTGGCGCTGTGGGTTAAACCACAGAGCCTAGGGGTTGCCAATCAAAAGGTCGGCGGTTCGAATCCCCACAACGGGGTGAGCTCCTGTTGCTCAATCCCAGCTCCTGCCAACCTAGCAGTTGGAAAGCACGTCAAAATGCAAGTAGATAAATAGGTATCGCTCCGGTGGGAAGGTAAATGGCGTTTCCATGCACTGCTCTGATTCGTCAGAAGCGGCTTAGTCATGCTGGCCACATGACCTGGAAGCTGTATGCCAGCTCCCTCGGCCAATAAAGCGAGATGAGCGCCGCAACCCCAGAGTCGGCCACGACTGCACCTAATGGTCAGGGGTCCCTTTACCTTTAAATTAACAAGAATTTCCTTTTGTCTGTCCTAAATCTCCCAACATATTGGGTGTCCATAGTTATAGTGTTGTGAGAGAGGGAGAATAACTTTTCTCTAGAGCTTTCTGCATGCCCCGCATAATTTTATAAACCTGGTAGAGGTTTCAGTGTTGAAATAAGATTCCCAGTCCAGTCAGCTTCTTGACATGGACTGGCACAGGGCATCATCCTGTCTTCAGCCAAAGGGAGAAAAATGTCTCAGGCCATCCATGCCCTCCAAAGGATGCTACATCATGATGTTCCATCCTTAGATAGAGGCATTGTGTGTCAAAATGGTCCACAACATCACCAGGGGTGCTGCTCAAACTGCCTAGAGACCATCAGGGTATTGTTTGTGGGTTGTTGCTAAGGAACGAGATTTAATTTCCAAGATGCATTATTTTTGCTGTGAACTGGATTATGCTCTTATAATTGTATTGTTATATATCATTACAAATTATCAGTAGGTTGTGTCATTTTACTGTGTATTAATATGAAATGCTTCCATTAGCCTATTATTTAAACTTTGATATGTCTTATGATCATTAGTGAACTATGTAAACTTTCCGACTCTGTGAGCCGCTTAGAGGGTGGTTTACTACAGAAAAGCAGCATGCAAATAAACAATTATAAGAGAAGAGCATACTATATCAGGCCAATGGCTCGTCTAGTCCAGCATCCTGTTCTCACAGTGGCCAGAGAGATGCCTATGAGAAGTCCAAGCACCTGAGCACACCAGCATACTTTACCCACTTGCAATTCTCAGCAACAATTTAGAAGCAATCTTGAGTTAGATGGACCACAGTCCTGTTGATGCTCCAGGAACGGGTGAAACAGCAGGCCTAGCTGTAAAGCTGCTCAACTGGTGCCTAACAGTCGCTAGTACAGCATTAAATTATATTATTTAAATTATATTAAATTAAATACATACATTTTTTTTTTATAATTTTAGATTATAAAAAAAGAAAACATTTCAACAATAATTCTAACATTTTAAGCCTCGACTTCCCTCCCCCTCTTTCTGCAGTTCCTTAAAGTTGTTTTCATCTTTCCCTGCATATCCTAAATTATATTGACTTATTCTTTTTATTCCTCTATTATTATATATGTTTGAAAACTGCAAGTTTTTACAATAGTCCTTCTAATGTCTTAATCTGTTTACAATTTGTTTGTAAATATTCAATAAACCATTTCCAATCCTTAATAAAGAGTTTGTTGTCTTGATTTCTAATTCTTCCAGTCATTTCTGCATATTCCATTAATTTCTGTAACCAGTCCTCTCTCATCAGAACTTCTTCTTCCTTTCATTTATGGGCAAATATCATTATTGTGGCTGTAGTTGTATCTTTTTCAATTCACTATATATCATTTCCCAATAAGCTTTAACCTTATTGCAAGGTTATGGAATAAGGGTATGGTATCTTCTTTCTCTTTACATTTCCAATACTTATTTATACATTTTTGCCAGTCTGCTAGGTGTTAAATACCATCTATATAACATTTTCATATAATTTTCTCTTATACCATAGCATGCTGTAAATTTTATACGAATGTTCCACAATTGTTCCCATTCCTCCATTTCTATATTATGACCAATGTCTATTGCCCAATGTATCCTTGAAGATTTCACTTCTTCATCTTTTGTCTCCTATTCCAATAACATCTTACACATTTTAGACATCACTTTAGACATTACAAGCAGGTCTTTCTCTAGTTGAGATATTTGTCCTCCAAACCCCCATTTCATTTCCTTTTTAACTACTTGTTCAACTGATGTTGTTGTTAACATTCCTGATAAATCCTTAAACTCTCTTAATTTAAATTCTCCACCTTTCTCTCTTAACAAATTTCTGTAAGTTACCCAATTTTCCATCATGTTTCCTTCTTCACCACTATGACTTCCAAAGGTGAAGGCCATATTTATCCCTTGCTATATACAAATGTTCCCTAATCATATGGTTTTTAAACCCTTTGTGGACTTTCACCTTTTCACACCACAAATATGCGTACCAGCCACATATATTATGATAATTGAATATTGATTGATGGAGTGTGTGTTGTGTTGGTTCCTCCCTGCCCACCGATTCTCTTTCTTCCCTAATGGAGTCCCGAGGTTCTGAGCTGTCCTTATTTACATGCCAGAGGTGCCTTTAATTCTGCCTTCTTATGTTCAAGCCCTTTTAAGCATGGAGTGTAAGGAGGATGATCACAGTACACTTTAGAATGTCTGAATGGTTCTAATTTGTTCGCCTCGGGCCCCTCTCTGTGTTGTTATTTGAAAATGAGATGAGCGAATCTTGAAAAACAAAAACAGCAACCCCTTTACAATCAATAAATCAAGCCAAGTGAGGCCCCTGCTCTGTAACTTAGAAGCGTCACTCGTAGTGCACTCGCTCCTTACATTCAAAACATCCTTTCCTATTCTCTCTCCCCTCCTCCTCCTCCTCCTCAACACAGACATCCTCATTCCCGAACAAGAAGACAATCAAAAGGATGCTCTGTAATGCCACTAGGATTGATTTGTTCTTTCTTCTGGTTTTCTTTCTTTCTT